CCCATACCACCGAGCATAGTCACTTCCAGACTACCTCTTGTGGCATGACGCGTGCACCTTAAGGGCTGTGCACAACACCTTTCACAATTAGAATGCATACCAAATGGAACATATCATTATATATTATATTTTATTATATGACACATTATGACATATTTGTTGTTTTGCTTTTTTTTTTGTTCAGAACATCTAAATGTCGGATATGTGCCAAAACTTGGGAGCCCAACTGTCGGGGTGTTCAGCACTCCTTTTAGTGGCCAAGTTAGCAATCGCCCACCCCATTGTGAGACATGGCGATGTGATCCTCAGTGGGGGAATATTTCATGAGAACTAACCAAAGAATGGTCCTCAGTCCTCAGTTGTGTATTTTTGTCGCTTTGGAGGATGAAAACCATGAGAGGTGGTCCTTAGTATAGTATATATATATATTAATATGTGCTCGTAAATATTTTGCTTCCAAAGAACCACATTGAGGGCTGCTGCGTTTGTCGCAGTGGACTCAAAGATTTCGAGTCAATCAAGGCAAGTTGCACGCAGCATCAAGTCGATTCTGAACAAGCTAACCTTGGAAAAGAGACTCGGCTGTGATGGGAGGGATCGGTGTAGAGTTCCGAAGTTGGACACATGTTCAGCTCAGCTGGGACAAATCAAAGATTTGACCCTAAAATGAGATACAGCACAGGAAGGGTGGCTGTGAGTAGGCTGAGTGCTTCGAATAGGACCCGTTCGCAGCATCCTGAATGCTCCGCCGGTCAGTGTGAACATGCGTGAACACCCTCCAGTCCACACAGGCACCGGTTTACTGGTTGTGTTGAGGGGGCCACCAATCTTCTGCCCAAACCACCCCGTGGGTGTCCTGCAGTGCCAGGTTTAGCAGCCTGTCTCAGCAGTTGCTGACCTGCAGCTCGATGGGAAGGAGGGTGAGCTCCTTCGAGTGATGCTGTAAACTGCTTTGGGCCATGAATGTATGAGAAGATGGGGCCCAAACATTCCATGTATGGGAACCGAACATTAGCCTAGATTTGCCCTTTCAAAAAATTGTCCTACTTCCGTGAAAGTAGACAAACATTTGGACATACGGTGGCGGTCCTACCAGAGATGTTCCTGGCAATGTTTTTGAACATTCTTGAATCAGTTGGACTCTGATAGGAGAATTACGTTTCAGCATGATCCAGTTTCTTCAAAGTTTCTCCTGAAAGAAACTCTTGAGCGAGCTTTAGACCGACAGTGCCCAAACCAATCAGTGCATCAAGGTTACTCACATCAAAAAACATTATGAAGAACCAAGTTTCATGTCTTAGCCCCTGGAGGCTGGGTTGGCACGAGACCTCCAGGATTTGAAGCAAGGCAGACCTGTATAGTTACCCAGGAAGACTTTGGCCAACATGTACACTTCAGTCGATCTATTTTCAGCCGGGCAAGTCATGTGAGTCGGAAGGAGCTCCAAAGGCTCCATGCCTTGTGATGAACAGAAAGTGGAAAGAGTCATTCGGCAGTGGATCAAAACCTTGAGTTGACCTCCTTGGTAGTCTATGTTTGTTCAATTTCGGTGGTCTACCAGGGTCCCCAGGTTTTGATCCACTGCCATCTGAGCGAAGAACGACCCAAGAGGAGTGGTAGACTAGGAGTCTTAGTGAGTCAGTGACTGTTCTCAGGTTCAGGAGTGCACCACATGCAATGCCATGGCCAGCATGACCTCAAAAGTGTTTGGAAACATATTCTACACTTGGAGTCCTGTTACGGTGAAGGCCTTTACACGCGCAATTCAATCGAGAACAACATGTAACATATGACGCGAGTATCTGTGAATTCACGGGTGCCACCTCCCAGAACGGTGTTGGTCTAGATCTAGAGGTGTATCAGATGTCCATAGAGACACACACACACACTTGTCATTCAGCCGAGAGAAGATACAGATACATGCAGTCATAGACCGAAAGCACAATCCCCTCTCGCCCTTTACAAGAATCAGCATGCTGTTCTGCCATGGCGGCATCATTGGCGTTGTTTCAACATGTTTTAACAGAACCCTAAAGAAGCTGCCCAATTCGTGGGAGATGTTGATTTTTTGGCTCCAGACAGCTGGCTTAGATTTGTTTTGTTGCTGTGCAGGTTTGAGCTTTAGTGGAAGATATCATCAGTATTGGACTCTAGCCTGCTTTGCTGAAATGTTGGGTACCACAGGTTGACTCCTTCCCGATGCACAAACGACTGAACAAGTTGCCCGATTGCTGCAGTGTTCCTGTGGGTTATCCACTAAGGTTCTCCAGAACTATAGCTTGCCCATCCCCTGTTGGGTTCCCCCCGAAACAGAATAAAACAATAGTTATATTATATACATATACACATAATAATATTAATCGATATATATATATATACCATATATAATATATGATATGCTCATCTACTGAGTGGATGGCCCAGACGAGGACTACCTCATGTGTTTGCCCCAAATAGAGTTGGAAACTCCAACTCCGAGCGCCTCGGACGACGCTTTGGGCGTGGCCTCGGCTCCCACCTCCTCGCCGAGACACCAAGGCGGCATCTCCTCCGCAGAGCATTTGGTGGTGCTGATCCACGAGGCCGATCTCCGAAGACGCCGGCAGGTTGTGCGAAGCGTTCAGAACGGATCAGCAACGGTGGATGAACGGGTGGGAACGGAGGATTCGAACCAGGGAACTTCAGCGAAGTGAACCCGAACACGGGATTGATGGGTGCCGATTGAACCCGAACTTGGTGGCAGATGAACAGACAGCAATGCCTAAGCTCTAGGCCGGCCTAGGGCCGGCCAAGTGAGAAGCTATCGATGCTGTGTGCTGATGTATCCTGTATCCTGCTTGACTTCTGGAGCTGCTATGTGTTTTCCGCACCTGTTTCTATAGAGATCAGCCTCACTTACTTAACTCCCGAATGTCCATGTTAGGCACACCTCCAGCCCATGTACCGATCCCCAAACCCAAGGAGACACCCCCAGCTGACCCACCACTGGTCAGCTTTGCTCCGTTGGTCACAGCTCCAGTACTTGGGGATCAATGAACCGGCTTTGCAACTAAGAGTAGTGTGTCAAACATGGTCCAACCATGTCAGACATCTTTGGGAAGCGAACATTTCCTGCAGAATTCTGTGCAGCTTGGGGATGTTGGAGTGAACAAGACACCTGTCATGGGTTTTGAAGCGCCAGTTTGGTGATCCACAATTGCTGGAACAGGCGAGCCCCTTCACAAGTAAAAGGAAGATTGTGAAACTGCTCTAGAATCTAGAAAATAACTTGAAGGGCGCTTTAATGTGTTTATACTCAATTACATATTGTATTATATGCCGTACCTTTTTAAATATGTGTGTTGACACTGTGAACCAAACAAAACGCTGGGCAAGTGTTCTGGACGGTGGTGGCGAGGTCTTCGAAAAGGCCACCACGCAGCACCATTTCATCGATGCCTGGCGGATAAGAACGAGACCGGGTGGGAGAAGCTGCCGGAGCCTCTCTCGAGGGTCACTGGAACGGAGGTGGTGTTGCCTCGTGTAGACTCGATTGAGTCTCACGTTGGCTTGGAGCGTGATCCGCGCTTGCATTCATGTCCAAGGGTTTGTGGAAGGATGAGGTGGGAGTTTCTTTAGGGATCCATGGGATCAACTGGTTGCATTGGTGTCACATTCCCTGAAATACTCATGGAAGTGGAAAAGCACCTGGAAAATGGTCATCCAAGGGGGCATTTGTCCACTTCCATGATCGTTCCAAGGAGTGTATATACTATACGCAAGTTTTGGCAGTTTGGGGTGTTATAGGCTAAGGTTAGGCTTGTTTGAGTCTTGACAAAACCTCTATATTGTGAGGTTGATTGATTCGCTGGAACAAAGAGGAATAAAACCAAATTCATCCAATTCCAGCCGTGACAGTTCGCAGTCACCTGGCCCTGGCCAAAGAGGTTTGACAATCAGATGATCCCACTCCAGGACATGTATGCAGACCTTTGCGTGCTTCTTCATGAACATTTCACCGCCAAGCCATTGGAGGATGGAAAGAAATTGACCTTCAAGAGGTTGCGCCTTGGATCAGCACGGACGGCCTGGAGCATGGATCCTATGATCGATTCTAATGAAACAGTCATCTCATGAACTGCCGAATGTTGCACGAAATGGAGGATCAATGGTTGCTTGCACGAAACAGGATCACCAGGGCCTGTACAAATGAACATGCATGCTAAACATATACAGTCTTTGATGCCTTCCTTCCACAGTAGGTGATGCTAGGGAAGAGACGGTGATCAACCGCCATGCACCGTTTACCTCAACATCTTCACATCTTCAAGCACCTGATGAACTTCCCAGTGGTGTTTCTTAAGCGTCACATGAACCACTCGCTCCCCATATAAAACAGCGTTTGGGGCCCCACAAAAGTGATGCACATTCCAACCACGATTTTGGAGTAGATAGAAACCAAGCCAGCAAACATGACCAGTTCCCTATTGGTTGTGGAATTTCCTCATATTCTAAAACTAAGATGATGACTCTAAATTTGTATATAGAAAGTAATCTATGGGGGCGCTCTTCAGGTGTTTCACGATGTCACCCTTTCTTCGTGTCCACTCCTTTGGGTCCTTCTGCCGCTTTCTTCGACTCCTTTCCTTGAGGCTTTTGGACGAATGCCAGATCCTTGAAGTGATTCAGAAGGTTTTCGGAGTTCCCCATGACCCTCATTGGAGTTGGATGCTGCATGAACTTGGAGTGTTTTTGATTTGGAATAAGTTCAAGGTTCTGTTCTGATGCCAACTCGTTTGACACCCTGTTACACTTTTTTGTAAGCAACTTTCCCAAGTATCGAGTTTGACGTACGGAGCTCTCCAATACCCAGTGGGCCAGTGGGTCAACGCCCCAGTTTAAACACCGTTGCTTCAGCAAGAACGGGAGCTGGAAGCTTGAAAAGGCCGTGAAAAAAAAAAAGAAAACATTAACACAGGGTGAAAGGCCGTGAAATACATGTGAAAATAAGGTCTTGGAAGTTGGGAGGTGAAATGCGTCCTCTACGCTAACCCGCCAGTTTAACCTGTCCTTTGGACTTATTGCTGGGATGTATAGTCCGGAAGCTGTTACAACGAGTCATGGACTTTCCCAACTCGTCCAGTTTCCACCAGGAGCTCCTTCGAGCGCTTGTTGACCCCACCCAGCAATCTGGAGCAACTCCCCACGGAAGAGAAGACAGCAGCCGAAATGAGCCACTTGGGAACAGCAGAAATTCTCCATATGACTCCATATGGCATGGATGTGTATAGTTAATAGGGAGATTCCCCACCAATTGGTATTGTACATTATTTTACTTAGATGTTTCCTTCCAAAAAGTGTGTGTCGGACAGCCTTGCTTGGTCCGAGAAGTGCGGTACGCGGTCATTGACATGTCCGCAGTCATGCACGGAGCTTCCTCCAAGCCTCCGCGCCCAAAAAAGAACGCTGAACATCGAAACAATTGGTCGGAGCTGACCATCTCCCGAAAGAGGATCATATGCGGGCCAAACATCGATTCCTGTTCGACATGAAGGCACAGTTACCTTCTGGAAGCTGGGACCTGGTTCAATGGAGAACGGTGTGTCCTTCCAGAGAAATGACGTTCTCACAGGTTGTTACAGCAACCAAAGTGTGTTTGCACCGATCTTGGAACATGCTGAAGCGCAACAGGCAGGACAATGACAATGTGAGAATTATAATGAGAAGTAGTATGCAAAGCACTAAGATTGACAGATTGTTGACACAGTTTCCTCTTCAGGGATCTTCAGAGCAGACATCCACATGAAACATGTACCTCAACATGAAGGGTCAACGAAGGGGGCTCAGATGCCACTGACTTTTCACCATTGTGTTCCCTTTGCTATTGATCGAACAAGTCATTTTCATGTCAGCCCATATGGATCCAGTCAGCCTTGACCAATACAAGCTGCAAAGCCTGCACTTGTTGTGTTCCGAAGGCTACAAGACTCACATGTTGGGCAACATCAAGCTGGTGGGTGGCCTGCTGGCGCGAGGCATGTTGGCCAGCAAGGTCCGGGCAATGAAAAGAGACCGGATTCACAGCTGGCCAGATGGATGGATCCTTCATGTTTGTCATCGAATGTCGTCGAGTCGTCGTGGTCGTGGTTGCTGCAGCTGCTGTTTTTTTTTGTTTTTGTGTTCCGTCTTGGGCATGTCGTTGGCCTTGGCTTGAGCATGTTGACATCATCTCCTTCGACCCAAACAGGTTGAACCTGTTGATCTCCTTTTGATCACATCCTAAAAACCGGGTGTAGATGCATTCTGGTGAAGTATTGTGCTTGGATGTGGACCTCTTGACCCCTTGCGGATCGAACAAGTCAAGTCTTTGCAGGCCACCAATAGCAACTTTCGGAAAGCTCAGAACCCCAGATGGGTGTTTTTGCATCCATAGCGTGAACATTTGCCCTTGCAACTTCAAAACGAGTCTGTCCTTCTTCGTCTCATTGTTGCATTATACCCATCCCTCAAACCTTCCACGTTTGACTGGTTTCTAGACGAAGATTGAGCGAGAAAACCCCTCTTTTGGCGAATTGGCACGTGCTAGCTGCTAGTTCTAGTTAATGTTTAATGTGTTTGAGTTTTTTCGTGAAATGGTGACATAAACATGTTCAAGTGGCATATGACCTTCGTGAAGCGGCACAAAGTAGCCCTCAACGACAATTTGTGTTGCAACGATTTTAAGTGTTTGTGTTGAAGACAATGGAGAATTGAAACGACACTTTTTCTTGAACGGCACTTCTTCCACAAAACTACAAGAAAAACTGTAGTGTAGTGTCACCAAGCGGCACTCGTTTATACAAACTGGTGGACCGGGGTATAAATATGATCATTGCCACACTTAACGTAGCTGTTGTGATCATATCTTTTCCATAGCCTGCCAGCATAGTTGTACTTCGTAAAAATGATGACAAACAAACCATTGGTGAGTCGATCTTGATCATCAGAGTCACATGGGACACATAAAGACCCTTCACCAAGACTCCGTTGCATCGGGGTGCAAGCCACCAAGACTTGGGCCGAAACCCTGTGAAAGGCAGGGCTGCCGCCCGTGACATCCTGCACCGTGTAGGTGGGAATCGCTATTTTGGAGGAGCTCTTGTCGAATCCAACACCTGAGGCTTTCCAGCCGCACAACAAAGACGCGATTTCACCGGCGCGTCGTTGGCGGGATTCATGTCTAGTCGCGCTTCATGTCCTTAGCGCCGGCTTTTCAAGAGAGAGGATGGCTCCAGCCTGTTCGACTGCGTTCAATGTGTTGGTGAAAGGAAAGGGGTCGATGTTCAGACCGTCTCGGGTCGATGGTGAGAGCTGTTCTTCCTCAACAGAGGGGTCGATAGGCGTCGGCTTCGTAGCGTCCTTGCTCCTAGTAGTAAGGCCAGGAGCCCCGTTCGTCGCGTCCTTGCCCCGAAAGGATAACGTGGATAACCCTTTTTCTCTACAAACCGGTGGTCCACGGGCTCTTGATGATTCCAGGCGTTCCAGGGAGTGTGTTTCTGCAAGATGTTCCGCAATTTCGTCTCTTGGGGTTGTTTATGAATGATTCTTCATGACAAGAAAGCATCATTGAACCTAAAGCCACTCCAACCAATGTGGGATTTGGGTGTGACCCTGTCACCATGTTACCTTCGACGTTCGGACACTGTTGTTGCAGGATCTTGCCCGAGGTCCATGTGCCCCAAAGAAGTCTACCTTCCGAACTTCATTCCTATTCCAGGTTCGACCGATGGCGATTGATTTGCTGATATTTGATATTTGTGGTGTCTTTTTGGTTGACGTCGACTTGTCTTAAGACATCAATAAACTCCCATGAGTGGCTGACTGACGAATCGGTGGTCTCTCTGGCGTCAAGTCCGTTTTCTCAGCATGTTTTTTTGGGTCAGGGTCACCAAGAAGGTGGGCCTCAAAAACATGGAGAATCATACCAGAACCCTCCAAGGGGTGCCCTCCGAGGCCTTGGAGTCGGTGGCCGCGCTGCTGACGGCGCTGGGAAGTAGCTGTGACCGTCCTGAATGGCCTCAGCACGTGGCCTTGCGCCTTGGTGGACTTCCGTTGGTGTTCAAACCGGAAGAGATGAGGGAAAAGCACTCCAAATCACCAACAAAAACATACAAAAATAACATCAAATTCTGCAACTGCATTTGAACATATTTAAACAACCAAAAGGACCAAAGGATTTATGAGTTATTGAATATATATTCAAACATGGTGTTCGGGGCCCTTGTGTTGGTGCTACTGCTTTGGGTATGTTTGAATATGTTTTGAGTTCTTTCAGGGTGTTGGCATGGTTTGGTTTGGTGAGGGAGCAATCTGCAAGGACAAAAACGTCGGTGAGTATCCTTGTCATACCGTATGGGTTTACTTTCCACCTGAGTCATGATCTAAAGATGTGTGAAGGCCAGGGTATCCCGGTATAACAAGCGCCTTTATTCAGGTCTCATTTGATTCATGATTCATGACAAACTGGGACCCATCCGACAGAATGGGACCCATTCCACACTGTTTTGCACCTTTCCCACCCACCCACTCACCACCCTCCAAGATTGGTGTTTGCGCGTGTTTTGCTGGAAACCACCAGCGAGGTCCCAAAACCCGACAGCTGGAGGGTCTTGAAAAACATTGACGTCCGGAGTCCCACTGGACGCATATAGGTGAATTCCTGGAGGATCACAGCAAGTATCGCAGGATTACGGATTGTCCTCCACCAAATGTGCCACATCTCAGCAGTTGTGAACATGATTAGTCGACATCAACATCTTCAGAGTCCACTTCCAAACCGTCCACCATTGAGCTTTAACTTGTTCTACAGCAACAACTCCTGCGTTTTTTGGAATTCGCCTCGATCCCTCGATCCATCGCTCAAGGACCGCGATCTTCCAGGACGTGGCCCTCATCGTGAAAGGCAACAGCTGCCCCACGCGCGAGCGTTGCTTGTTGAAGGACCGGGCGGTCGGCATCGGACCGGACGGACCGGACGCAGAGATTCGAGGTGTTGGTGGTTGGTTGGGTCTTAAAGAGGTGTATTTGTGGAAAAAAGTCTGGTGTCCCATGTGAGACAACATCAACAATGGACTCCACAGACAGCTTGGTGCAGAGGTCAGCCCAGCTTTTTGACCTTAGGTCCTCCATTAAGGATGTTTTCTCGCCCGAATCCGTCGGAGTTCGTGCGAGGATCTTCTGGACTTGCGCCGGAACGGCTGGGTGGACCGTCGCCCCAAGAAGATGGAGAGGGCTATGACCTTGAAGCAGGCGCACGGGCGCGCTCAGGGCGTCGTTTGGCCGAAGGAACACCGGCGAACCATGGCGAACCTTTGGAAGACAGGAACACATAGACTACTGACTCGTACCACTGACCTTGTAAGTCCCACAAGGGAGGTTTAAGCATTTATCATATCACTTATTGATTGACAGGAGCCATCTCTCAATCATTGGTGACACGGACTTCTCGCTCTCTTCTCGTTTTGAACTTGTATAATCTACAATACTGTAACAATAATAACTAACATTATATACTAATCATTTGTATTACAAACGACACGTCGAAAGATCCTGAATGTACCACCAGTCTATATGGTAGTTATCATGGTGCTTTGCTCGTGCGTCTTTTTCGTGGTGCCTAAGTGTCAAGCGGAACACCCTAAGACCCTCGGGATGGAAGCAACCTGAACATTTATGAACCTTTTGTTCTTTGGGAAGCGTCCGTCTCCTCTCTTCCAACGACCGCCCTTCGGTGGCTTTTGGCGCCTTTAAGCTGCTTTCAGCAGCAGCTTTGGCGCCGCAGGTCGCGGAGAACAAAGAGTTGCCCAAGCCGCAGCTGCGAAAGGTCGCCGTGGTGGCCTTTGATCAGGTGGCAAAGGGGTCGGAACAGGTGTGAAAGGGGGCCGGACGTTGGAAACTGATGGTGAGGACGGGGCACGGGGTGGGTGAAAATGGGGAGTCCACCAAGGAATGTGAGGACTTTGGGAGAAGACATGCCGTAAACATCCGAAGACCAAGATGAAGCCATTCAGGACCACCTTCCCGCCATCATTTGGCATTGTGGGTTTCCGACCTTCCCTCAGTCGGGACCACCATCTTCTACATGCACTCTCAAGCGGCCATACTCCGCAACTGTTTATGTTTGGCCTGCCTTGTGTTTTGGTGGGGAAAGCTGTTGGAAGGACTTCCAACGCCAATGCCATCACCTGCAGACCGTTGTAAAATGCAGACCGTTGTAAAAAGCCCCGGCAAAGACCTTGTGCATGGTTTCTTGTTGTAGAACTACTGTGCAGAATTTGTCCATCAGCACAAATGGTGATCTTGCTTCAATTAATCGCAGTTGCCATCTGAATGTTTTCTTCCCCAGACCGGCCCCAGACGCTTGGGGTCCCTTAAATTTAGACTATCCACGTACTTGATGATCTTCGTTTCAGACTCTGCTCAGAGTCCAGCACTCTCCACATCTCTCCGGCGAGGAGAAGTTCCGCGCGGCGGCACAAAGGCTGCTGCGAGAGCTGCAAACGGCTCAGTTGAACGAGGTCTTCGACGGCTTCAAAGCCTTGGGAATGCCGCCGGCCACTGGGTGACATCGGCTGAGACAAAATCGACATGCTGAACCGGGGATGGGTCTAAACTAGTGTCTAAACTCTAAACCTGGAGCAACCTGGTCAAAGGGATTGGTTTTTGGACACAGCATGCCTTATAGGTTGCACTGGTCACCGCAGTCATCCCCGAGACTGCGGATCCATGGATTGAAGGCTCAGGTTTTCTTGATTTGACTAGGGACGCGTGGGGATGAGCCAAAACGAACTTCCAACCCTTAGAGGGCATCTACGAACTTCAAAACAAACTTCATTTCGGAACTGCTCATGGCTGCCACGATTGTAAAAAAATGGGTTGTCGGTTGTTGTGACATCACGAGTTCATGGTATTCCATGGTATTCCTCCTGTTAGTCCCCCTGTTTTATTTCGTTTCGGAATTGCGATCGGGAGGTCTTCGTGGATGTTAGATTCTCCGTGTCGGCCGACCTGACCGAACTTCGTGGCGAAAAAACAACGTTCCCCGAGGCGTCCAAGCAACCACACGAGCTTGCTGAACTCTTGTGCCTGGTGGTGCAGGAGGGGTGGAACATGGTGGAACCAGTGGATTGGAGAATCGGAGTGAATCTGGCGCCATATCATATATATATATATATAGAGTCTCTCCGAGTCCACATGGCAGTGGATTTCACGTTTGGACAGGATTTCAGGGTCTTCCAGGCCTATGTGCCACTTCCAGTGCACCCAAGCTGGTTTGGGGCTTCAAGGTCCCAAGCTGGGTTTTGGAGCTGCTTTGTTTGCAACTCAAGCCGTAGGGACGTTTGGCGATGGTGTGGGTCAAACCATGTCAAACCATTATATAATAACTGCTGGATGTGACTCGATTTGTGATTGACAACAAGACTGCACGGGTGGGGCAGGATCTCTCAAGAGATCTCAAAGAAAAAGAGATCATTCAAATGTTCCAGACAAGGAGTGGTATATTTGTGTGTTGTAGGTGGACAGATTCACATCCCATATTGAAAGGTTGAGAATCCTTTTACATTGATATCAAAGGATGCCCAGACCGCAGTCAAGCCGGGAAAACAAGCGCAGACGATGTGCCCGGCTTGACCGGGCAGCTGCCGGAGATCGAACGCACAGGAGAAGGCCGCCCTTCGAGACCTGGGCTTCCAGCTCTTGTCGCAGATCGCAGGCACAGCAAAGCATGTGGAAGGAAGCTGGGGATGAGACTGTGCGGGGAGCATAACAAATGCGAAAGCAAAATCCGACAGTATGCCTACCAAATTAGATAGATATTGCTTGGGATGGACTTCCTCCATTTTATGTCCTTTCTTCTTTCAAGGAGTGCCTGATGGAAGCCCAGCCTCAGTAGTAAAGGTGTTTTTGTGTGTTTTTTTCAGGGGGCGCTGTTTGATGATGCTTGATGGATCCAGGTGGCACTCTCCAAAAAAAGAAGCTCACACGCACGGTGTGGTTGTTTGGCTCCCTTTCAGAAAACCTAAGGTTGGGCAAACAACACAATCTTGGACTACCCGGGACTACCCCATGTTCCCAGCATGTGCTCGTATGTGCTTGTCCACCGGGTCAAACCTCGTTCCGGCTCCTTCAATCGTGGAAGCTACCATCACGACCCGAGCGACCCGCATCACTCAAGGCCACCGTCCCCCGTGTCAACATACATTGAACGAGACATAACAAGACCTTTGTGTGATTGCATGGGCTTCAACTGTTGGATTGTTTAAAAACTATTTACACCACAGCATGATATTGCTCAGAAAGACACAACTCCGTGCGTGTTGACGCTCAGGAGAATGGCATTCAGAGGCCTTGGCGCAAGGGGTGACTTGGGATCTTCGCACGTGTTGACGCCGATCAGCATATGTCGCTGTGTCGATGCCGTGTGTGTATTGCATGAGTATGATGTGATTTGGCACATGTGTGACCACCGGCCAACAAAGAGATATGGATTCCGTGATATGAGCAAATCCTTTAGCACCTGACGCCTGCGTCTTTGAAAGTAAAGCAAATGAGATACGAGGCAAGTATTTGATTTGTGGCATCAGTGCTCCAGTTCTACGGTATGGAGTGTCAAGCCACTCATACACTTGTTGGGCCACTGTCGGCAATTTCCTGGACACATCGGCCACTGCTCTAGGAACTTTGCACACACGGTGGTGTACTGCTGTCAGCTCCCATGTGGCACCTTTTGTACCGGTTTTTGCCTAGGGCAAGGACTTGAAGTTTCAGAAGACCTCAGGTTTGCAGCAGGTCGCAGCTTAGCAGGAGCAGAAATCCTGACACCAATTCTGCATGCCAGACTCCGCCGCAACATGATGGATCGAGAGTGCTGAACGATTCGGATGCTGAGTCTATGATAGCTCATCATCAGTCTATGATCGATTCACTTGAACTTGCATCAGAATCATAGGAAAACACCTGCTGGGAATCCTAAACACTATCTCCTCCAGCATCTTCAAGAGTCATCATCACCTCTCTAACATCCGCAACAAACCGTCTCTTCCAAGCCGCGTCGGTGTTTCTTCCACCACCTGGCTGCTGGAAATGGCGACGAGTACCAATGGCTTCAAGGTACTCCTCATGGGCCGGGCCGGTGCAGGAAAGACGTCCATGAAGTCCATCATTTTCGCCAACTACCACTCCAGGCAAGTCGAGACTGGTTGCGACGGCGATCTCATCGCATGTCCGATCGCGCGTCTTCGCCCATCACGAGTGCCAGGTTACCCCCGGTGGGGGGCGGTGTTTCTTTTTCCACCGCGCAGGGCGGTGCACGGCGGACGGGCGGACGGTGCTGGCACAATCGAAACCGAACCCGAAACGATCACTGCGAATTGAAGGTTCCCTTTTGAGACGGATCATGGCGTGGGTGATTTGTTTTGGGGTGTTTGGCTCAACGATCATAAAGGATCAAGGACTGCTTTCGTGGAAACCTTACTGGGAATGAGCCCAGGGCCATCGAGGGCCGGAGGCACCATTTAAAAGAGATGACGCAAACGATCAAAGAAACCACGCAAACGCTCATCTTCTTGGCACCACTTGGGTGTCTTTATTCAATACACCTTTGAAATCTCTATATATAGGTTTCGGATTTGAATTGGGTGCTTCATGGTCGCTCAAAAAGTCGACTGATTTTGGTAGGTGTTCCACGCACCAGGTAGGTACAGTACGGTATGAATATGTTTGGTTTTGCAGGAGAACGGACGAATCCGCCGACTTCTCGAGTTTCCCCCACCGCTTTGAATTCAGCTTTTGGATGCTTTTGGGCCATACACTTCCCCCCTCGTGGTGCCGCTCGCTGGGCGAAGAAACAAACTCTTCCGTGAAAGCCAGCGAATGAGTAACCCAACCCTTTCTGTGCCAAGCACCGACTCATCTGACATGATGCTGTCGGTTGAGTTGTCCGCGACACACCAGCCCAACAACCTGACTGGTGACTGGTGCTTCGTATACGGAATGAGGGCTGGATCCAAAAAGGAAATCTCAATGGGGCTCCATTCCCTAGCACAGTGAAGCACCCGTCTTAAAAATGGCTTCAAGATGCTTCAAGCAAGAACTCCGTAAGTCCCTTTCGTTCCGCAGGGACACCAAGATGCTGCAGCCGACCAACCACGTCGCTGAGCTGAAAGGTTCAACAGTATATCAACATATCACGCAAAGAGTCGGTCTCCAACATAGATAATAGATGTTCTTTTGTGATTTATTTTTGTGTGTATATATTGTAAACGTGGACCAGTGCATCAAACGTGGACCAGCAGTACCTTCTTTGGGAGTGGTAGCAGATGGATTAAGCTAACAACTAATAGAACATTTGCTATATATTGCATGATTTGCTATTGTTCTCGTCCAAGCTCTACGCATATCTTCCCATTGACCATTTGTTACACAATCTGATACTTTAATGCCAATGAGCATGTTTGCTTCTAAGAAATGCATCTTTGATGCTGTCTTTGCTTTCTTCTGTGACGCTTCCAACTCTCTCCGAGGTGGAGCACAACTCTCTCCGCTTCCTGGGGAACCTCCGACTGAACCTCTGGGACTGCGGAGGCGATTCGAGTTTCGACTAGGGCTCCATTTGGATGGTCTTTAGGGGGTGTCTACTATAGAGCATTATACTCTTTAATCATTAGTCACCTCTCAATGGGTTCAAACATGTTCATTCACCTTCCCTTTGCAGTTCCTTAATGATACTTCCTGCAAAAGTGTTTGCCTCCTTGATTCTCGATATGCTGTTCAGCATGGTTGCTGTTCCCAGCAACAATCGGCACCCCAAAGCCATTTGTTTCGTCGAAGTGTCACTTACCAAGACTACAGTTGATGCGTGCAACCAAACAATGCGGTCAGCAATTTGCTTGGAGGATGCGGTCAGCAATAAGGATGATTTGGGTTTCTGCTTTTTGAAAGGCCAAGATCAATTCATGGAGAACTATTTCGAGTCGCAGCGCGAGAACATCTTTCAGCACTGCGAGGCCCATCAGCTGCCTGACGTGACCAGGATTGGTGGTTTTTCAAAATGCAGTGGTTTTAGAGTAGATGGCACAGACTCCAAGATGTCCTCTAGATGGGGGTCCATATAAACCCACCAAACTTGGGGATTGTGCCATCTAAATCTACTCTTAAAGCACTGTAATACTTGTAGCGTCTCTTTCACCTATGCTCTTTTGTGGAAGAGCAGGGAAGAACTAACATGCTTCCATCAAGACGATAAGTTCGAGCACTCCTCATCTAGGTCGATCACTGGACTGGCTGAGGTTTCATTAGACCCTCATTACCATTAGTCAGAAAGTTTTTCAGAGTGCGGTCAAAGTTTTGCTGATTTCCTGGCAGGTGCTGATTTACGTCCTGGTCGCAGCTCGTGGCTTGTCGTCTTGACTTGGTCACTCTGAATGGATGACTCTGACGTAGAAACCCCTCTCAGACAACCAGCGGATGGACATTGTATGACATTGATGACATTGTTTTTGGGGCAAGCCGGGAAGCCGTTAATTTGTGATATATTACATATTGTGACCAATTCTCAACAGGGGTTTCTTTGTTTGGTCCATCATGTCGCATGCGTTCTTTACCAACCAGGGTTCTTTCGGAAGCGTGGAACCGCGTGGCCGGTCGGTCAACTACTTTGCAGTCGACCGGAGGACTAAGACTTACAGTTCGACCGGAAGCTCGACGCGCCCGCCTAGGGGACAAGAATCCGGGCAACGATGAGAGGAAGAAGGACGTCGAGTATTTCAAGGATGCCATAGAATCACTCACGAAGCATTCGCCCAATGCGACCACCTTTGTCTTAATTCACAAGTTGGACACCTGGATTGGGCAAGTTTCTTTTTTGTGCCTTTTTTTTGTGTGTGTGTGTGTGTCGTTGTTTTGATTTCCGGGGATGAAAAGAATATCTACAAACGTACACACCTGTGGATGTACAGTATTATTTTCACAGAATTTTTAGTTTTTTGGGGGGCCGGAGTGCAGAGCCATTGACGCGGCCTGAAATTATTGGAACTTGGGCGAAGCATTTGGCTTTGAATGGCAGGAGCTACAGGCCTAGAATCACGTTCGGTCGTTGGTAGCCCAGTTGATGGTACCCTCAAAATCATATAAATGGCCTCCGGGAAAGGACGTGTTCACCATCTAGGCTATTCTGAACAAACATTTCAACAAACCTCGTTGGATTTCCCTATGTTCTTTCTCCCCATATATAAATATCAATGATGATGTGCAAGACAATTGCCGGGATCACTCTTCAACCAAAAGACAATGTGAGTCGTCCATGTTTCGGCTATTCTCAGAAACTCCTCATGTAGGCTGTTGAGTCGAGTCACTCACCCCCCATAGGGGGGATTGATTGGGGGGGTTATGAATCAACAGTCTACATGATTAAAACTTCTTTATGTTGATCGCTGTGGTGACGTATATGGTGACTGTCATCTACCCTCGGAGTTGGGTTCTTTGGGATTCACCAGCCTTACCCTCGGAGGTGAGCCCCGCCGGGGTGGGCCGCTACGAGTCGCGGTGTCGGACCGCGGCACTAAGGACTTGGTGCATGAGAGACCTGGTGAAACAGAGGAGGGTAGTGAGCCGGTGCTTCCCTGGAACGCCGGCTTACCCCAATAAGGATACTGTACATAGGTTGAGCATCAACCAGCATAGATTAGGTAGCCAAGAAAATTGAGTGCATGGTGTATTCCTATTTCTTGTGGTGTTTTCCTTTTTCCATGGCTTCTGAGGTCATGCGCGGCACACGGCACTGGGGGTCCCGCCGTCGGTTCATCCCGTCGGGCGTCCTTGCTCCGTTCGTAGCAATGCAAGGAGCGGCCCTAGTAGTGTCCTTCCTCCGTTCGTAGCGATGCCCTTTGTTACTAGTAGCTTAGTCCAGTGGGTGTCAACGTCCAGCGACCGATGGATGTTGATGAAGAGGAGATCCCTCGCAACCGAAAGCAACCGATGGAACTCGACAATGTTGCACCTTATTCCAAGGCTTTAGACACACCACAATCTTTTGCGAGTTCCACTGGGCCTCTCTGAAAACCATCCCAACATATGCGAGTTGCATTGCGTCTCAAGGCATTCATGAAGAGGATCCGGCTTTTGATGAGGCATTCTCAAGAGACCCCGACATTCCACATATGTAGGGACAAGATGCAGGCTACAACTCAACAATTCCACTCACCATATATCAATGGTCTCAACATGTCCAAATAGACGGAACAACACTGGGTGTTTCACCTCTTCTTTGGACGGTACATGAGTGGGTCAACTGCATTAGACATGGCCTTTCAACAGACTTGAAGGAAGAATCCTTGCGGCACCTGTAGCACAGGGATAACAGCTCTTTTTTCAGGGGTTCCAGATGAAGCATGATGTCATCCAATGTCTCCCACTGTCAAGACCAGGTCCATCTTGGGATCGTTCAGCCAAGGAGCAAGCGCGCAGAGGTCTATCGTCAGGTCAAGGAGGAGCTCTTGACTGTGGCCCCAGAGAGGGCCCAGGACAGGGCGGATCGAAACTGAAGAGCCGTGAATGTTCGTCCCAGTTGGTGAACTTCAATTATAAATATATATATATATATGTGTTATGAACTGTTATGAATGATCTGTTATGATTTGTATTGATTTGTTTAGGTGTTCTACCATTCTTTTGGATGTTTGGGGGACTACGGGATGACTTGAGCGAACAGCACCGGACATTCCTCCAGGATCGCATCACCTTCATGGGCAGCTTGGTCGACAGCGATGCTGACGTGGGAAACCGATCAACCAGTCCAGATCGGTGTTCTTCATGGAAGTCCCTGTGATGTCCTGTTCAGAGTTGCAGCTGCACATCCTCTTAACTTGAATATACTTGAATATACATCTCAAAAGTCTAACCAAGCCTGATTGCATGTTTTTTTTTGTTTAAACTGTTATAGACGAATTTAAAAGTCAAGCCCAGTCTTTGGACTGGAGACCCACACAACTCCGTGGCTCAGGAAACAAAGAGTTTGCCGAGCTGGCAGCTTTCTGTTTCATGGGGAGGTATGATATGGATCTGTTCAGTTCATGGCCTTTGCTTTGAGATACCCAGACATTCCATGTATGGAATTCTTGGGTGAGAATGGAATGTATATACATATATGCCTACATTGACCCGCGGAAACCGCAAGTATGCCACGGAGCGACTAGGCAACTAGGCAAGAAAGGCCTGGGGCGTTTGAAACGTCAAGAAACCCTAAGACTTCCCTGAGTCCAGTACCAGTACGTCTTCCAAAATCGATCAACAAAACCGTTTGCGACCACCTGTGTTCCTCTCTCAGGCACTTCCATTTGGGACGATACGCTCTTCAAGGCCTGGTCGAAGATCGTCGCCGTCATGGTGCCGGACCCCGATGTCCTGCAGGCGCGAAGCCCGAAGCCTGCTGCCGGGGCGTTGCAAGGTGTCCGGTCGGGCGTGTCCGGTCGGGGTTTGAGGCGCACGTGAACTTCATGTGCCAACAGCTCATGGCGGATGAAGTAGTGATCTTTGAGAAGAACACATTTCTTGTGAGACTTGCCTAGTGAGGCCGACAGTGTCGGTGTGAGAAGAGCTAGAGAGAGAGTGCGACAGAGTAAGAGGGAGAAAGTCTTTAGCCTGGTTGGCTGTTGTTTGGCCTTAGGCTTGTTGAATGTCAAATGTGTCCAGAGCCAGGGTCCATAGGGGGACAGAGCTAGACACAGAAACCTTTGCCAAAATTCCAAGTTTGTTCCTCTTCGGAGCGTTTGGAAGAAGATATCCTTCTTGCTTGGGACAGTTTGTTAGTGGTATCATTATAATTTAATCAATTCGGCTGTAAAAGTGTAAGTATAGGTTTAAGGTTAGACGGGGATGAAAATGGGAAGACAAGCCGGCTCAAGAAAACCCATGGCTTTGGAAGAACAAGACATGGATACAGCAAGTGTTGGGATCAGAGATCTGCGCACGATTGGCATAACCATGTCAAACACAACATTCAAGTCCTGCAAGCACATATTATATACGTTGGAATTTTCCTATGCTTGCTGTCACTGCAGCTGTCGTGGGCGTTTGTCGATGCGAAGCCAAGGATTACAAGGGCTCACACCAAGGAGATGCCGGATCAGTATCGTTTCGAGAAGCTCTCGAACATCATTAAACAGCAGCCCGGATTTAAAAGAAGGAGCACATGACTTGATTCCAGAGTTGCACAGGTGCATTCTGCATTCTTGTATTGGTTCACATGTTGGATGTTGGAGCTAGAGGTAGGCCTACAGGAACGCATGCAGTTCAGTTCCGATCGTGTGTCAACAGAAATCCTAAGATGGTCAAATCGCTGGCAGCCGAGACTTCCAACCAAACCTGACCTCAAGTACCGTACTTATTTTTACCAAAACACGTGTCGAAAAATGGCGCCCAAAACGGTTTCGTCAGACGGTTTTGTCGAGGTGTCGGACGATGGTGTCGGAACACCCTTTTGGTGTCGTTTGGTACGTCGTTGTGTCGGTGCGCGACGTAGACGGAGCGAGGTACAAGCTGAGCTGTCAAAAGGCCAAGACCAACTTCCGAAACTTTGTGGTGAAGAACGACCGCTTCCGCGCCATCATTGCGCCTCGTTGCGACGTCGACGGACGAGACGATGTATAGGAATTGGCTCCAGGAGAGCGAATGGATCGTTGCATAACGTTTGGAGAAATGATCGAACATGATACCCAACTAGAGGATAGATATGGATAGATATGGATAGGTAGGATAACATGATGTTCAAGGAAGTTCAAGGCATGTTTCAAAATCTATTCCTAAAGGAGGCCATGGCGAGTCTAGACCCAAGGACCGGCAAAACCAAATCCAAGTTGAATTGCCTGGAGGCTGGGATACATCATGATACATCTATTTGGTGACTGTCATAACTTCGGAGGAAGTTCACGGAAGTGGGCAAATCACAAATCGCCCGCATGGATCACACGGACTGTGTGAATACTGTGTGACTTTCAGATTGCAACTAGCAGGAAGTCCTCCAACTGGTTTGTGGTGAGGAGCTGCCCACCTGTTTTTTGTGCAAGCCAGAAACCCTCACCCGCCGCAAGCATATGCAAGCATCAAATTGGTTGTTGGTGACCGTCGGTGGTCGTGGATTTGCCAAGGATGTCGGCATAGATGGCCTGCCCTACGGCCTCGGTTGATTAATAGAGGATAACCACGAGGGGATATCCCGGTCGTGTACAACCCATGGAGGTAATATGGTGCCAAACCGGCCCTTCTATTCTTTCCCCAAAAGGCATCATTGGTCAAAGATGTTCCTCCGATTTCCAGGTTCTTGGTGCATTTGTGGGAGAGATTTGACCAAGATCCATGGCCTGGAACTTTTCCGAAAGCATCAGGGGGTTTCCTTTTGCGAGAAGATCTGCAAAAATTGGCTGGACACATTTGATTCAAGCTCCGAACCCAATAACTGGAGCCTTTTCTTTGCAGCGCCAAAGGCAGGGGTTTGTGTCCTACAAGCCATATCAACACCCTTTCCGGACGGCTCTACGGTTCATCGGGCAGTCGTAAGGAGCCCTTCCTGACGCACAGTTTCGTGGCTTCGGATGCATCGGATGCAGCTGTATGAACTTGGGATGTTTCGGGTCGAGCTATATGTTACGGTAGGACATGCAATGACATGAATATGTATATATACTATTCTATATACTTATATTGTATATATATTTTTTAATACACATATATTTAGGTCCCTTTTTCTGTCGAACTTTGTTAGCAGGGATGGATTTTGTATCTTATAGTGGCTAAACGGACTTAGTATCTTATAGTGCCTTCCAGAACCATGCTCCACGAATAGTACGTGCTGTTGAATAGTAGTAGTAGTAGTAGTAGTAGTAGTAGTAGTAGTAGTAGTAGTA